ACTGTTTTCTCTGCCCTACATGTCTCTCTGTTTGATTACCCCTTCTTATCCTTCACAAACATCCCCTGAAGGGAATCTTCTTTGATGCTTCAGCCAGAAAGATCTCTCCACCCACCCCATCCCTATGTTCCTCTTGCATGTTTTTGGTACCTCAATCTGTCTGCTCTCACTGGGGGTTCTTCCCAAGAGAGACCCTGAGGCCTGAGAGGGGAGTAATAGTGGCTCATTCTCTCTTTGTGCTCCTTCCAATGCCCAGCTCAGAGCTTTGGATCTGGAATGAGCCATATTGATATGGTGGGTATTACAGGCTTCTCTGCACAAATCAATGCTCAGAGAAGCCAGGCTAAACCAGGGTCTTGTCACTGCCTACCAAGCTTCTCATACCACTCCACAGAAAGACCTGTGATCCAGGAAGTGCATGCACAGTTCCTGACACAGATGTTCCCAAGGCTCTCATTTAGGCCCTGTCTCCAGGCCCTGATGTCCTGACCACTATCCTGGTAGAATGACCTATTGGAGAGTTGAACAAGCCCAGGAGCTTTCAAAGCTTGTTTCACCCACTTTGGGCAGACAGAGGCTTCAGACCACTGAGGCAGATAGATTTCCCAAGATGCCTAAAGATCTACCCTCAGGAAGTACTTTTCAGAGTTTTGTCATCACAACCAATCAGAGTAATCTAAAGTTCCAGGCCAGCCTGGACTACAGGGCAAGTAAGAGTCTTCGTTAAAGGCAAAACAAACACCACAAAAACTAATGCATATACCCCAAACCCTTCCTGAATCTTAACTGCTGAGGTGGAGTGCAGTGTTCAGAAAATATGGCCCAGTTCACATTCTGGGGTTTCCAATCATCACTCCTCAAACAAGTCCCCTAACTTTGCCAAGTCTGTTCCCTGATCTGTAAAGCAGAGGGGACAGTGGTCTTATTGGGCTGCTAGAGGGGTTCAGTGTGATCATGAAAGTACCCAGCACACGGCTTTGTAGACTCAACAACGTGGGCTGTTATGACCACAGCAGCCTTGTCATGCCCTGGGACTTTCAAGTGAGGAACAAAGTGTTGATGTTCTATTTCAAGGAGGGGGCCCTGTTGAAGGTTTTCTAAACAGTGGGAAGCCTTGGTCTGGGAGGGCCCTTGCCCAGCAAGCATGCCATCTAGTGGCTGTTAAGTGAGAACATGCCCAGTCCTGGTGCCTCCACTCAGCTGAGGTCCAGGCCTCAGCTTGCCATAGCTTTTACTCTGCCTTCCACCCACTGGCAGCCTCCCATCCTGCCCCATTGCCCTGGAAGTCTAACTGGCTCAGCACCAGCCCTGGCACCTCACACTAGTACAGTAAGAGTCCAAGATCAGCTTTCCCTGGCAGGGAGGTCACCGGGCACAGAAGCAAGCGGCAGGAAGGAACCCTCAGGAAGACAGCTTGTTGAGTGACTACCATTTAGAGTCCTGAATTCTCGGAGTCTTTTTTATTCTTTCACAATTGATTCCAATTTGGGATTTTATGATTTTTTCTTCAGATTTTATTTTTTAGTCTCCCAGTAGAATTTAAGCTACTTGTGGGCCAAATTTGTCTGCTAAAATCATTACACCCACCTTAGCAGGACAGACGATACCTATCTTTATGTCTATATTCATATCCAGATCAATATCATAGATACTGGAGCTTAAACCCAGGCCTTCACACAAGCTGGGAATTCACAGTACTACTAAGTTATAAACCCAATGCATATATCGTATCTCTTTCAAACAATCAGCACTGACCACACTCCAGTGAGTATATAGACAACATAAATATAGACTTGGTTTTTCTTCTTCTTCTTCTTCCTCCTCTTCCTCCTCCTCTTCTTCTTCTTCTGTGATGAGGTCACAAAGGTTTGGGGGTGGACCTGGGAGAACTAGGAAGTAAATGTTATTGAGGTGCATTATTTGAAATTGCCAAATAATCAATAAAATAGGTTAGATTTAAACAAACAAACAAACAAACAAACAAACAAACAAACAGCACACAGGGGTTCCCCAGTTGGTGAGCAGCAGCAGGAGGGTTTTAGGAGAAGTCTGTCTCATGGTCAAATTTCACATTCTGAGTCTCAACACTCAACAGAACTCATTTCGCCTAAGATAAAGACACAGAGGCTTCGAGCCACACAGTCCATGATCAGCAGTGCTAGCAACAATGATGCGGCAGGAGGCATTCACGAGAGCTTAGCAGTGTTCTCTGTCAGGACATAGGATACAAATCCCAATGTGCTGACTCCTGCCTTCTTGAAGCTCCAGCTGGTTCAGTAGAGGTAGATACTTCATTGTGATACAGGCTCTATGAAGAGCTAGACAAGAGTCCAAAGTGCTGTAAGGTACTCTCATAGCCAGCTTGAGCTGTTGTAACAAAACACTATAACAACAAATTTATTTCTCCAATCCTGAATCCTAGACCAGGGTGACAGCCAGTTTGGTTCTTGTGAGGGACCTTCCTGGTTTGTAGATGGTCACCTTCTTGCTATATCCACTCACAGTAAACGAGAAGTCATCTCTCCCAAATATTTTTTTTTGAGGTACTAAGGGTCAAAACCATGTGCTTGCACATGGTTAGCAAACACTGCATCTCTAAGATATATCACCAGCCCTCAGATACCATCTTTATATGGCCACTGACCCACCACACCAGCCTTCAAATATCTTCTTATTACAGTCACTGACTCACTGTAACCAGCCCTCAAATATTTGGGCAATGGCCCCACCATAAAGGCTATATATTTATCCTAATTACTTCCCAAGTACTCTCCTGAGTGTATCTATATGTGTGTACTATCACATTTAGGACTGTCACTATATACATTTTGAGAAAACACATTTAGTCCATAGCAAGTACAGTTTGTGGGTAGTTAGGGGTCAGGATGGGGGTCCTGGAAAGGCAAAGAGTACTGTCAAGGAAGAGATTTGGGCAGAGACTGTGATAGAAACAAAGAAACACCTGACAGGGCCTCTTTGAGAACCACTAAGGGGTCCGGGTTTTTCAATTGTTTGTTTGAGACAGAATCCCACTATGTCATTCTGGTTGGTTTGGATGTATGCTATGTAGACCAGGCTAGCCTCAAACTCAGAGATACAGCTGCGTCCTGAGTGCTGGAATGAAGGGATCCAAATGTGAGTGTCTAAACTGTACTGATAGAGCACGGAAGGCGGAAGAGCTTAGAAAACGGTGATGGTGTATGTTGGGGACTTTGGGAAAAAAAGTATAAAGTACTTCCCATCTGTCCTTTGACCCTGATTTGTTCTGCCCAGGCCCATGATGTGCAGATTTGAACAAGGCACTTTACACATCCAAGGCTTATTTTTCTCCTCTCTGACAACCAGGCTCAAGTATCAGAACTTTGGGAAGGTTTCTACAAAACTACATACATGAAAATGCTTTCAGTCTTCAGTTCTTCCCTTGCAAAATGGGGAGAAGTCCTACCAGCCCAGTTGGTAGAAGGGTTCTGTAACTACATTTGTGTGAGAGCCAATGGCAAGAGTCTAACTGATGAGTCTCTTCTGAGCACTTTGTCCTGATACTACTGCTTGTTTGTTTTGTTTTGAAACATGACTGTTAGTAATCTGTCTAAACTCCATCTCCACAGTCACCTGGCAATAGCCAGGTATGCTCCTCCCCACAGTTACCTGGCAACAGCCAGGTAGGCCTGCCCACTATAAAAAAGGGGCTGCTTCCCCCCTCCTCTCTCTCTTGCTCCTCTCTTGTTCCCTTGGCCCCATGTCTGCAGGCTCCCCTCTCCTTTCCCCCTTCCCTTCCCCCTCTCTCCACGTGGTCATGGCCGGCCTCTACTCCTCTATCTCTCTGTTCTCTCTTTTCTTGCTCTCTTCCCTCTGCCCCAAATAACTCCAATAACCATCTGGTCTGCTGTTATCTGTTCCAAGCTGCACTCGATAAATCCTTTCAATGGCCTTGTGCATCCTAGGCTGGCTTCAAACTCATTATGCCTAAAGATAACCTTACACTTCTGATTCTTCAGCAGAGTGTTGGATTTCAGGCACACACACCAGAGCAGGTGTATGTGTGCTGGGACTGAACCTAGAGTTTCTTGAGTGTTAGGTAAGCACACTCTGGACCCCCAGCCTCTGATTCTATCATCCAATACCACAATACTTGATTTATTTGCAAGACAGACATATTCATAAAAGGAAACAACTTTCATTAAAAAAAAAAAAGGCAAGAAGAGGGCTGGGGCTGTAATGTCTGTGGTAGAGCACTTGCCTTACTTTAATGAAGCTCTAGGTTCAATCCCCAGTACTGGGAAGCTGGGCAGGGAGGAGCTTACCATGGAAACCTGCCAATCTGAGTTTGACCACAGGACCCATGCAAAGGTGAAAAGAGAGAATTGACTCCTGAGAGTTCACTGATACACACCGACACACAACTACACTGCAAAAATAAATATTTAATTAGAAAAACAAAACACAACAACAAAGAAGATGGCAGCTTGTCACTTGGGAGCTGGAGACAAGAGGCTCAGGAGTTCAAGGCCATCCTAGACTCTCTAAGTAAAATTCCAGGCCAGCCTTGGCTACACAGAAAGACCTTATTTCAAAATAATAGCTGGAATTCCTGCACTTGTGAGTCAGAGGCCGGCAGATCACTGAGTTTGAGGCAAGCCTGATTTACACATCGAGTTCCAGGCTAGCCAGGGCTACATAACCAAAAATCATCAGCTGGGCCTGGGAGTGCGCCCCAGTTATTCTAGTGTTCCAGAGGCTGCTAGTTCTAGGCCAACATGAACTACACACTCTCAAAACAACAAAAGCAACAAAACCAAAAAGGAACAAACAAACAAACAAAACACCAAACCCAAACAAAACCAAGAAGCCACTTAGCTTCATAAGTTGTTTGGATACGCAGTTTCTTGTGCTCCGCCTCTGTAGTCAAAGTCCCCAATCAGGAGCGAGCCAGTCAGTGACGTCATTTTTCAGCGACGAAGCGGGCGCGGGCTGCGTTTCCTCCTCTGAGCCGTGGCTCTGAGGCTATGGGCAGCCAGGAGGTGCTGGGCCAGGCTGCCCGGCTGGCCTCCTCGGGTCTCCTGCTGCAGGTACTCTGCTGCGCCCGCTCCAGCGCGTGATGCCGCGGCCAAGCCTCATGGGGGAGGCTACTCTGGGTCCCCCGCACTGCACGGGCTTCCACGGGTTCACGGCGGCGGGGAGGGGCGCCGGGTCCAGGAGTTGGGAGACTGCGATCCCTGTCTTGGCTGATGACTACAAACATGTCATTTTCTTTCTGAGTATTGTATTTCCGTGTGGTAATAGGAGGCAAGTGGTAGAGACGGAGACTACTTCAATCTGATATTTTAAGGGGTTCATTTCTTGAGTATTCCACTCTTGATCCTCAAAACACCGTTCTTCAGCTCTCATTGAGTTTAGAGAGACCATATGGCACAGCTAAGAACAGGGATCTAGGTTCAAGCATTGCTTGCTGTGTGACTTAGGACAAGTTACTTCAGCCCCTGAGCCTTTTTAGCTCCTTCTTGGCAAAAATGAATGTTAATAGTATCTAATTCAGAAAGCAATTTGCAAGGATTGTTTGGGATCATTTGAATAAGCGCACTTAGCACAGTACCTGTATCCTAGTGTGCACTTAATAAACTTCGTCCGCTATGTTTCCTTGGGCAGACTACTTTTTGGCTTTTTATTTTTTTTTCTTTTGCAGATGACACTTGCCAGTTCATTTACATGGTCTAGAATCCACCTTTACCATTATGCTACAGAGACACAAAAGAGGTTAGAGAGAATCAAGCTGAATTAAATTCAGGTTAGATGGCTGCTTTTTAAGATAAGAATTACTTGGGTTAGGTGTAGTGACACAAGTCTTTCATCCCAACACTCGAGATGGAGTCCTCTGTGAGTTCCAATCTGAGCTTCAGTTCAGATAGGGCTACATACTTAGACCCTGTCTCCAAAAAGGTTATAATCACTTGAGTTTTTTTTCTCAGCATCAGTTTAGTCTTGTCTTGTCTTGTCCTTCCTTCCTTCCTTCCTTCCTTCCTTCCTTCCTTCCTTCTTCATCTTTGTCTTTTTTTTTCTTCTTAAAGACAAGATCTCTTTATGCCTCCCTGGTTGTCCTGTAACTCACCAGGCTGGCTTTGAACTCAGATCTGCCTTGCCTCTGCCTATTGGCCTGCACCACCAGTCCTGGCTTTTGATTATTTATTTATTTATTTATTTATTTATTTAGAAAAGAGATTGCCATGTAGCCCAAGCAGGCCTTAAATTCTTGGTACTCTTGCTGCAGTTTACAAATTGCTGGGGTAACAAGCACATACCACCACCCTGGCAGCTTCTTAATTTTGAATGAGAACAGTAATGCAGCTTTACAGGGTGATTAGGAAGATTATATGAGATAATTTCTGTTATGTCCTGGCACACTATACAAGGTGCTTAGTAAATGTTAGCTACTTTTATTAGCATAAGAAGTTTGTAAATGGCAGAGTAGGGATAAAATAAACTACATATAAAGGATATAAAAAAGTTCCTTGCACACAGTACTTGCATCATCAATGTTGGCCACTCTTCCTTTAACTTCGTCTGTCTAGTTCTTTGTTTTTCTGTTTCACGGTATAGGTAAGTTCAATGTGTTATACATAGTGGTTTTTTTTTAAAGATTTACTTATTTATTTTATGTATGTGAATATATGATTTCTGTCTTCAGACACTAGAAGAGGGCATCGAATCCCATTATTGCTGGGAATTGAACTCAGTACCTCTGGAACAGCAGTCAGTGCTCTTAACTGTTGAGCCATCTCTCCAGCCCTATGGTGTTGATATTTTCCACCTTTGGTAACATCTTACTACCCAGACTGGTGTTGTAAGACAAACGGGTTATAGCAGAAGACACACTGGAGTAGGGAATCTGTGTAAAGCTAAGCTGGCCCATTCGTTTGTTGTTTGGTATTAGGCAAGACTGCTTCATTCTGAGTTCTCTTTCTAGTGAGTTTGCCTGCTTGTCATTTGCTGTTGCAGTTTGAAGCTAGGTCTCCACAGCTCCTAAGCCAGTGCTTTATCACTGAGCTATATAGTCTCAGCCCTGGTTGTCTTTTGTTGTTTTGTTCTTGAGACGGGGTCTCACCATGTAGCCCTGGCTGTACTAGAATTCTCAAATTCAAAGAAGTTTGCCCACATTTGCCTTGTGGATGGATGCTGGGATTAAAGGCTTGTACCACGTGATTAGCCCGCTTGGTTGTTTTTAAGGGTCAAATAATTAACAGATGTAAAAGCTTTTATAGATGTAAAGTTTTTTTGTGAAAGCAAAAGAGGCTATGTTGTTAATAAGGGTCTACTAGGTGGACTTAGAACACTGGGAAGCCTAGGAACCTTTATCAGCCCACACCTTTATTCAAACCAACTAGAAGATACTGACATAACCTGAGACCAGAAGTGTGTTGGACAATACTAACTTCTCTTTTTTTTAAAGATTTATTTATTTTTTAAATTTATTTTATGTATATGAGTATACTGTCACTGTTCTCAGACACTCCAGAAGAGGTCATTGGATCCCATTAAAGATGGTTGTGAGGCACCATGTGGTTCCTGGGAATTGAACTCAAGACCTCTGGAAGAGCAGTCAGTGCTCTTAACTGCTGAGCCATCTCTCCAGCCCCAATAATAACTTCTTACATGTACAATTTGCTTTTTGTTTTGTTTTTTTTCCCTGAGAGAGGGTTTCTCTGTGTATCCCTGGCTGTCCTAGAACTTGCTCTATATACCAAGCTGGCCTCAAACTCAATGATCTGCCTGTCTCTGCCTCGTGAGTCCTGGGCTTAAAGGCATGTGCCACAACCGCCTGGCTAAATGTATAATTTGCAATCTGCAAATATTATTGTACAAAATGATGGGCTTTATAATTGTGTGTGTGTGTGTGTGGATTTTAAAAAATAATCATAAAATGTAGACTCCTTGAGTGTTTTAGTTCGGTTTTATATACTTCCTTAAGTTATAATGCTGATACTTAAGGTAGCTTTGCAGCCACATTTTATTATGTAATTTGTCTGAGCTAGCCACAATGTAAGTTTTATTGCCTTTAATTTTTACATTTAAAAAATGTTTTCACTTCTATAATCTTATTTTAGCCTTGTAATCAACCTTATAATATCTTTAGCCTCATTTGACAGAGAGAATTGAAGCTTGATAGAATTAGAAGATGCTCCATGCATTTAAGAGCTAAGTAATGGGTGGAAATCCAGCTGAGTACTTTCCCTGATAAGACTATGAACTGGCTTCCAGCCACCAACACTGAGTGTGGAATTTGGCGTGTATATATGAACCTACATGATTCTAAAAGGCTACAGGGCTTTCATCAGATAGAGAAGATCACCTCAGACTCCATGAACATGGTGATAGTCTTGGCACTGGAGACCTGGCCACTCTGTGACACTTTAGGAATAGTGTTAATGGCCTGGAGATTTTCAGAACATGGCAGTCTCTAGTCTATGCTGATCGAATCTTCCAGATGGCAGGTGTGTGTGTATGGGTAACCATGAGTGTACTCAACACAAAGAGTTGATCTGTCATTTGTGGCTAGGGAGAGAACATGAGTGAGACTTGCATCCTATTCTGCAGTGCCACTCGGGAGCCCTGTTTAACTGAAGCTTCTAGTTCTCCTGTGTCTCATGGAAAGGTCTCTTTGTTTAGGTGGTTTTCTTTAATGAACAGATTTGAAAGTCTCAAGGTGTGTCCTTGTTAGATGACAGTAGCTGGACTCCGTTTTCCCACTCCCATTTTACATTATCTTATTACTACATTGTTATTTAAATGATGCATCAACTCTGGGAAGCGGCAAGTGTTCCGTAGACAGTGTTTCCTGTGTAAGCAAAACAGTCAGATTCCACGGAGATTAAAATGTCCTTAGAATCCCTAAATATCACCAGTCAGAGAAGAAAGACACCAGGTCTCAGATTCCCTGTGAGCCTGCTATACTCTGTAAGTTCTAGTTTTAGTGTGTACAGTTTCTAGTGGGATTTTGGGAGTGTCCATATGTTTGACTTTGTCCTCCAAAAATGTGTTGGGCTGCATCCACAGCTATCTTGAGACTCAAGTGGCCCATGGCTCATAGGTTGGGTATATCTGGAGAAAGTTTTAGCTAGGGTCCTGACAGTGTGAACCACTATCACCGTTCTCTCTCCATCCCCTTGACTCTGAGCCTGAAGATACAATCTGCCAAAGCTTCTCACCTCTGTAAATAAGGGCGATTCCCAGATATTTTCCTGGGTTGTTTGCCCACTGCTCAGGATGGTGAGAGACTCTAAGGAATTAGAGTTCACAGAAAGCAAGAATGTCGAGGTTAGCATCTTAGAGAAGATTCTTCATAGCCAAGCATCTGGGTCATCATCACATCACATCTGGAAGGACAGCTACACAGTCTTCATAGTCAAGTCAACACTCCAGACATAACTCAAATGTATTTTCTTACAGGTCTTGTTTCGATTAATCACCTTTGTCTTGAATGCATTTATTCTTCGCTTCCTGTCAAAGGAGATTGTGGGCATAGTGAATGTCAGGTAAGAGGAACGGACCCTGGACTCCACTGCCCCCGTCATCAGTCATGAGGTTTTTCAGATTATTTCCATGTGCCCACTCAGATTTTAGAGTCATATGCCTTTCCTAGGAGCAGAGTGTTTCAGCAGTGGGCTGAGGAGTGCAGGGCGGGGGATGAGCAGGCACTGCTGTGCTTAATGGACCCATGCAGTGTTTTCCATTAGCAGCCTCCAAAAGCACATTTCCCCCCTAGTGTTCCAGTTTTTCTGCTCTTAGGGCCAAGGAAGAGTGGGAGTAATTCATGGCAAACCTTGTCTCAGGTATAATCCTGTGTTCTTGTCCTGCTGACACAACACAGAAAGCAGGCACTGTGCAGTTCGTGAGGATGTGTCTCAAAATTGCAGGGCTGGGGACAGCCAGCCGCCTTCACTTCTGCCTCAGTAATTTTGTAGTTGAGCTTGTAACTGGAATCAGAGCTTGCATCTTTGTGATGAGTTCTGTGGAAAATGAACTTGTTTTATCTTGCAAAACTCAGCTTGTTTCTTCTGTGTTCTAGGACACCCACACTTATTTTGTCTTTACAAGTGACACATACACAAAATGTATGAAATGATGTCCTTAGAATAGCTCGGCTTCTCAGGCGTTTCTTTAGAGCCTGAATAACAAAGACAGCATGTTCTAGACAGAATCTCATGCCTCCTATTTACCAACCGAATGCTCATGGTGCTTTTCAGGGTTTAATGGCAGTTCTCAAACTTGGGACTGGCAACACAGCCACCTGGAGCTTTGTACTAGGTAGGGTTCACGATCTCTGAGGCAGTGGTGAGACAGGGAGGAACCACTGAGACGTACTATTTAAAAAGTAGGAAGACAGAGGGAGCAGATCCTCCCCATGCATTCTTCCCCAGCTTGCCAGGTGCCTGTCATGACAGCTTTTGCAGTCTTCCCCCACAGTAAGGAGTGGCTTTGTCTCCTCCTCTGCTATGCTGGATGGGCTACTGGGGAATAGGTACACTTGGACCACATCGTCAGGCTGCTGGCTGTAGAGGCTAGGAAGTGTCAGCTGCTTTTCTCTAGGTGCAGGAAGACTGGCTCAGATGCTGGCCACCTGCAAGGTACTCAGGCAAGTCTTCCTAATGGGGGTTGCAGCAACCTCTGTAATGGCTGCCTGACATGCCGTTTGTCCTGAAAGTCTTTTGGCTAAGACCACTGTGTGATAGAAGCTCTACTTCTCTCAGAGACTCCAGTGTCTCCAGGAGGTCTCCTTATGTGGGGCGCTAAGCTGTTTTTTTTTTTCTCCATACAATTAGGATCACGCCTCTGCCCTCAGCTGTAAAGCTGCAGACTCTGGTCTCTGCAGCACTTGCTATCTCATACTTGCCAAGTCAAGTGTGCCTGGCTTGGTTCCAACTCTGACTTTCATGTGGCTCAGACTGATGGGGCTCTCATGAGAGACACTGCCCTCTACATCCCCACCAGCAGTTTCTGAGTTTGTTTTTTCCTGAAGTGCTGGAGATGCAAGGCAAGTGCTGTACCACTGAGCTATATCATTAGTCTCCTTTGTACTTTTTTGTTTTGTTTTGTTTTGTTTTGTTTCCATTCAGGTTTTCTCTGTGCAGCCCTTGCTGTCCTGGAACTCACTCTGTAGACCAGGCTGGCCTTGAATTCTGCCTCTGCCTCTGCCTCCCAAGTGCTGGGATTAAAGGCGTGTGCCACCACTGCCCGGCTCTTTTGTACTTTTTAATTTTGAGATAGGGTTGCACTGAGATGCAGGTTGGCCTTGAACTCATTGTATAGCCCACCAGGCCTTGAACTTCTGGTCTTCCTGCCTCAGCCTTCCAAGTAGTTAGAATCACAGGTCTTTGCCACCAGGCTCACCACAAGTGGCTTATAACCAATAACTAATTCCTGTTGCAAGGAAAATCTCAAATATTCTTTCAGTAAAAAAACATAAAAGCTTGGAGGACTTACCAGTTTCTACATTTGCTTTGTAGACTAACACTGCTTTACTCAACTACTACCTTCCTGGCCAGGGAGGCCTTCCGAAGAGCTTGTCTGAGTGGGGGTGCCCAGCGGGACTGGAGTCAGACCCTCAACCTTCTGTGGCTAACGTGAGTTGTACTTTCAGCAAACGACATGTGCCAAGAGTGTGGTAGTGAAATGACAGTACCTGCCTACAGCTAGTCGTCTCCAGACTGGCTTTGTAGTGGGTTCAGGGGCTAATTTTAGTAGCAGAAAGGGGAGAATGTCTGGGTTGGAGATGCTGCTTAGCCGTTTCTCTCCGTAGCCAGGAGGGTTCTGGCTGGGGTTCCTGGACTAGGCTTCTGGCCTGCTGCTGCACTGTTTTTATTCTCATCTTTATGTCCTGTAGTTTCCCTGGGGCCTTTAACAACTACTTCATATTTTTTAAAAAGTCTGTAAGGCTTTCTTTACACCTTTCTTTAATTCTTTAGAATGTTATTATAGACCAAGTATGTCAGCTGAGAATTAAAATGATTTTCTCGGCTGGATCCCTGCAGCGAGGCTGGTGGTCTTTCCCAATGCCACCCTTGCGTAACTCTATTGCCTCACAGAGATGCCTGTCAGAAGGGCTGGCAAGTGTCCATTTTATTAGCAAGATGACCGTGCCGTGTGCTATACACATGAAATGAGCACTGTGCTGGGGACTATTGGTTATGTGGGGTGCAAGACACTGTATAATGTCTGACAGTCATTCCAAGCATAGGCAAGAGGTTTTTTGATTTTGTTTTTTCCTGGAAAGTTTTCTTATTGACTTAGTCTAAACCAGTGGATGTAATGTAGGCTTTGGAGTCAGATCATGAGTGGGTCTTGTTTCTGATCTTGGCCACTTGTTTATAACGTTGGCCAAGTTACCAACCCCTCTCAGCCCCAGGATCCTTCTAAGTGGGGGAAAGTGACTGAGGGTCATTGTGAAGTGTTAATGCATTCCCTAACAGATTCTTTTTTTTGGTTTTTCGAGACAGGGTTTCTCTGTGTAGCCCTGGCTGTCCTGGAACTCACTCTGTAGACCAGGCTGGCCTCGAACTCAGAAATCCACCTGCCTCTGCCTCCCAAGTGCTGGGATTAAAGGCATGCGCCACCGCCTTACTAACAGACTCTTACTGTGGTTATTATTTTATTATGACTATTGTTTTCATTCAGTAGTACTGTTTTAATGTATTTTTATACTTAAAACTTTATATGTTAAAAATCATCTGTTCTATTCTTCTAGTGTCCCCCTGGGTATATTTTGGTCCTTATGCTTGGGCTGGGTCTGGTTGCAGTTGCTTGAAGTGCCTGATCCAAATGTGGTCCCTTACTATGGAACTGGCGTGCTGCTCTTTGGTCTCTCAGCAGTCGTGGAACTTCTGGGAGAGCCTTTCTGGGTCTTGGCACAAGCACATATGTTTGTTAAGCTCAAGGTCAGTGAACCTCTTGTGACTAGGAAATGTGAGCAGTAATGGAAAGTGTGGGGTGTTGTTGTTGTTACTGATTGTTCTGGGACAGGGTCTCACCGTGTAGTTTAAGCTGGCCTGGAACTGACAGATCCACCTGCCTGTGCCTTCTGAATGCTGGGATTAACAGTATGTCCATCACTCCTGGTTGCATTGTTTGTTTATATGTTATGAGTGTGGGCATTTTGCATGTGAGTGTGTGTGTACATCATTTGGGTGCCTGGTGCCTCCAGAGACCAGAAAAGGGAGTTAGATCTCCTGGAACTGGAATTATAGACAGTTGTGAGCCACCATATATGTGCTGAGAACTGAAACCAGGTCCTCTGGAAGAGAAGCCAGTGCATTTAAGTGCTGAACCTCTTCAGCCTCCAGATGTGTGTTTTTAAAAAGCATTTCATAGGAAAGAATGATTTTTCTAGATTTGATTGTAGAGAACTAATTGGAAAAGGTAACATGATGAATTTATTATCTTAAATTTATCAGATGGGCTATGCTAAAGTTTGTTTTTGCCAATTGAGATGTGGCAGGAAACATGTATAATCCTAGTACTCCAGAGGCTGAGGCAGGAGGATAGTGTATTCAAGGCTAGTTTAGGCTCTATAACAAGATTTTATCTCAAAAAGCTAGTAGATGGCAGAGACATGGTTCAGGTAGTGACTTGCTGTACGAGAATGAGGGCTTATGTCTCTATCCCTGTACCCATATTATAAGCCATGACTGTAATTGCAGCCCTGGGGAGGCACAGACAGGAGGATCCTGGGTCTTATTGACCTGCAGTCTAACCACAATAGGAAGTTCCAGGTTTAGTGAAAGACATTTGTCTCAAAAAAGTAAGGTAGAGAGCCATAGAAGAACACACTTGACCTTGATCTCTGGGCTCCATGTGCCTACACACGTACACCTGCTGCACACACATGCACATATATGAATGCATTGAACACACACACAACCTGTGGTGGCACAGTTACCTCTACTTCTCTATACTGTAAATGAAAAACAGGTTCTGTAATAAGGAAGATAAGAGTTAGAATAAAAATTTAAGATCACTGTAAAACATTTCATATTTTTTTTGTGACCTTGTTTAGTTATAAATGATGTTGATGTTTCTTTTCCTCTTTTAAAATATACTATTTAATGCATGCTAGCATATATATATGTATATATATATACACATATATATGCACACACACACACATATTCTTAAGGTACAACATACTGAAAATGAATGAACTACCCACCTACCCATTCCAAGAAATAAACATTACTGTTGATGCTCATGCCCAGCCATCCCCATCCCCTCTGCCATGGTAACCACCATGCTGAAATTTGTGTTTGTTATGTCTTTTCATATTTACTTGTTGATAACACCGCACCTTTCATCTGTGGCAGGTACTTGCCGAGAGCATGTCGGTCATCCTCAGGAGTGTCCTGACGGCTTTTCTTGTCCTGTGGTTGCCTCACTGGGGTCTGTACATCTTTTCTTTGGCTCAGGTGAGAATTATGGCCTTACTCTTTACATCTCTGACTTCTCTCTCTGTTCCCACTAGTATGTGTTTTATGCTCACAGTACTCCTGCTGTGGGGTAGTTGGAAACTCTAGAGTCTTGGCTGGCTCACACTCCTCCAGCTGCTCTCTCTGTCCTGCTTCACACACTAGTGTCCTTAGGGACCTGGGGAGGGCCATGTGCTTTCTGATATCCAGCGTCAGAAACTCCTGTTAGATAGTCTGTGGGCAGGTCCATATCAGAATGATCTTTGATTGTCTAAGAGTCATACGGGGGAACAGGGGGAGAGACAGGGGGTGGAGTCAAAATCAAATTGTATGTGTGTTATTTTCCTTGATTTTCAATCAGTTGTTTGCAGAATAGGAGGAAACGCTGCCAAGTATATTTTAAGCTTCGATTGAAATCTCACATAATTCACAGAGAATGAGTTAGTCCAAGCACCGCATTTTCAGCTATAGCAATTTTGGCTCCATCTTATATCCTAGATACAGTCCACAGGTCTAGCTCTAATAAAGATGTTGCTGGAGTAAAAGTACTGTTTTTAAAAATGGGCATGTTGGCACACACTTTAAGATTCAGAGGCAGACTGATTTCTTTCTTTCTTTCTTTTTTTTTTTTTTTTTTTGGTTTTTTGAGACAGGGTTTCTCTGTGTAGCCCAGGCTGTCTTGGAACTCACTCTGTAGACCAGGCTGACCTCGAACTCAGAAATCCGCCTGCCTCTGCCTCCCAAGTGCTGGGATTAATGCGTGCACCACCACCGCCCAGCTTATGCCTGGGTTTCTACTGTGCAGTTTTCATCAGTGTTTGAGAAAGCTGATAAAGATGCTGCTTAGTAATGATTTACCTTACGTTCCTCCTAATGTCCTCTGAAAAAATACTGATTTTTTTTTAATGGAACACAAAATGACTAGATATAAAATTAATTAAGAATGGCAATTGCCCACAAAACCAATTTGCAAAGAGATACATAGTCTAGAGAAATTATCTAAAATGGTTGTTTTTCCATATCTTTTTAGATCTAGAACTGTAGCTTTCATCATTATCCCTGTTTTTATGCATTCTCTTGTGTAGAACAGAAGGCCCTCAGAAAGGCTCAATACGGTTGGCTCTTACTTTGGGAAAGGCACTTGGCATGGAGTGTTTCTTTCTTTTCTTTTTTCTCTTTTTGGTTTTTCTTTTCTTTTTAAGATTTATTTTTATTTATATGAGTACACTGTAGCTGTCTTCAAACACACCAGAAGAGGGCATCAAATCCCATTACAGATGGTTGTGAGCCACCATGTGGTTTCTGGGAATTGAACTCAGGACTTCTGGAAGAGCAGTCAGTGCTCGTAACCGCTGAGCCATCTCTCCAGCCCACTTTTTGTTTTTTCAAGACAGGATTTTCTGTGTAGCCCTGGCTGTCCTGGAACTCACTCTGTAAACCAGGCTGGCCTTGAACTCAGAGATCTGCCTGCCTCTGCACCACCACACCCTGCTGACACTATGCGTTTCTAATGTTAACAGTTTCTACCCATGATAGGGTCAGAGTTCAACGAAGAAAACTGAGTGCATTTGCTTCCTTCCCATGAGACTTTTACAAGCTCTACAAGACAATCATGACCAAATGTATAGAGACAGTGACACTCACAGCAGCATGTGAGGCCTGCCCAAGGCACTGAGAGTCCTCTTGTCAAACCTGTCTCTAAGGTCTTCCCTAAACTGCCCATAAAACTCGCCTTAGAGTAAACAAGGAATGCTTATTCCTGACAATAAAAGAGACAAGCCACTCAGTTAAAAACTGGGCAGAGAATTTGAACAGGCATCTCCCCAAAAAATATATAAAACAAATGGACAAAAAGCATGTGAAAAAGATTTCAGGATCAATAATTATTAGGGAAATGCAAATCAAAACCATAGTGAAGGCCTGGTTTACCAGGCCTTTAAACCCAGCACTCGGGAGGCAGAAGCAAGCAGGTGGGATTATAGGAGTTTAAGGCCAACCTGCTCACCTTGTGAGTTCTACACAGAGAAAATCTGACTAACAACAAACAGACAAACAAATAAATAAAAATAAAACCACAGTGAGGTACTGTTTCATACTTACTAGGTGGGTAATAATTTTTTTGTTGAGTATAGAATAACACCTGTAGGTAAGGTTGTAAAAAATTGAAACTAGTACATTTCTGGTCTATACATAAAATAATGCAGCTTCTGTGAAACACAGTGTGACGGTACCTCTAAAAACTAAACAGCATATGCTAGCATCTCTCTCTCTCTCTCTCTCTCTTGCTCTTAAGTATATATACCAAAGAGAATGTTCATAACACTATTCACAGTGGCCAAAAGGTAGACAGTCTTAAATGCCTATTAACTAATGACTGGATAAACAAAATTTGGTATATCTATAGAATGGAATATTATTCAGTTCTAAGAACTGCCGTGTATAGTGGCATACATGTCATCACAGCATCTGGCAGCAGAGGCAGGAAGAGCAGTGCAAGGTTGGGGTCAGCCTAGTCTACAGAGTTCCAGAACAGTCAGAGATTCAACACAGTACAAACAAAACATACTAAAGGAAAGAACTGCTCAGGCACGAAAAGCCACACATTGTATGATTCCATTAATATATAATGTCCACAATAGACAAGGCCACAGACAGCACGATCATAGTTGCTAAGTGCTGGGGGAGTTAGCTGTAATTGCTTAAAGGGTGCACTTCCTTTTGGGGTAATGAGAATGTTAAGGAATTAGGTCGTGGTGACAGGTCGACAACAATGTAAGTGTACTACAAGCCACTGAATCCTCTGATTATAATGGTAACAGTTATTATGTGACTTTCTCCTGATGGAAATAAAGGGAGGGTCCTGTGGCATGCTACTCTGCCTTCAGATTGCCACTGTTTCCCAGAACTCAGCTCAGCAGGAAGGCGAGGAGAGGTGGAGAAGCACACGTATCACAAGGACAGGGTAGCGGCTGCTGTACCTCACGCTTACACTGCTCAGTTAAGTCTTGAGGCCTGAGTGAAGAAGGCTGGTAGATGGCAAGCGGCATCTTTACACATGGCTGAGAGGAGAGCACAAAGGACACCAGGGCTACAAACACAACTCTGCCTTTTCCCTGCCATGTGCCTGCCTTTTGACAGGAGTTCCCTTGTACAGACAAGTAGAAAGAGGGGCCTGGGGCAGGCATTGCTGGTGTGTACTCTCAACCACAGCACTCAGGAGGCAGAGGCAGGTAGATCTCTGTGACTTTGAGGCCAGTCTGATTTACAGAGTGAATTCCAGGAGAGCCAAAGCTATACAGAGATACTGTGTCTTGAAAAATCAAAAGAAAAGAAAAAAGAGAAGAGAAAAGATGAGAAAAGAAAAGAGAAGAGAGGGATTTGGAGGTCCCAGTCCTGTAGCTAGGGTACACTGTCGTCCTTAGAAGGGGGCCTGTGGCAAGGGTCCCCTTTGGATACTCATTTCCAACCTTCAAACGAAAGCTAGCTGGCTACTTCTGATCAAAGGTGATTCTTTTGTCCCAGTTGGGTGGAGGGTGAGGTAGACCTTCTCACGACCCCGCCTTTTCCTTTTGGAGCTCAAGTAACTGTAACCCTGCCAATGCCCTGGGTGGGGAGGAGAGAGCCAGTAGCTCAGTTCTGCTTTGTAATCATAAATGGCACAGGTTCCACGGTTTATGGAAAACCCAGTCCTGAATGTTGGCAAATCCCTGGCTGTCTGCACAGTCCGGACACCTGGAGTCAGTTTGCTGGGTGGATATCTGATGTTGTGCCATTTGAGCTCGTGGCTGTCTGCCGCGCGTTCTCGAGGCAAGTACAGTGTTGGAGCCTGTGCAGAGGAGCCACGGTGGCGCTGGCTCTAAGCGAGTGATGGGCTGCACTTTGGAAGGTGCAGTTAATTAGGACACCCTATGTCTTGATTGACCTTGGAGATAACATTTATAGTCCTGTTGTAATCATGCCTCTCTCAAAACAGTTCAATTTCAACCCTTTGTTTTCTTGTTTCAGCTTCTTTACACAGCTGTTCTGGTGCTCTGCTATGTGATCTACTTAATAAAATTACTGCGCTCCCCAGAATCAACCAAGCAACTGGCTTTTCCTGTCTCCAAAGTAACACAACTGTTGCCCAGTATTTCAAGAAACAGAGTGAGTTATGCATTTTGTTCATAGATGATGGTTATCCTTAAGATAGGGAAACTGTAGCTGGCTTATTGTTATAATAGGAAAGATAAATTTACAGAGTGTATTTATTGAGTGCTTGCCACATACTAGGTCAGGATTTCCAAATCTTAGCACTGGTGACTTTTGCACAGGGCATGATTAACTATAGGGACTGTTTTATGCACCGTGGGTGTTTAGCATTCCTGGCTCATGATGCCAGTAGTCTTCCTCCAACCAGTGCAGCACTTAGCAACATCACCAGACACTGCCACATCTCAGAGGCTAACCTGCTCCTAATAGAGAAAAACGGTGCTAGGCCCTATAAATCCTTCTCACTCTTTGTGCTGTAGGGTTAAGGAGCTAAGGCTGAGCAGAATGTACCTGTCCAGAGTTAGAGTGGAGCGCAATTAGAAGTCCACAGGGGATCAAGTACCCATGTTCCACTCGTGTGTCTTTTCCCCTAGGCTTTTTCTTGGATTGACCTCTGGCAGAGGCAGTCCAGAATTCTGAGAATGCAGGGATAACCCCAGTGGTTGTTGTCTCTTTTTGGACTTTTTGAGACAAAGTCTTGCTATTTATCCCATACTGGCCTCAAGCTTGCAATCCTCCTGCCTCAGCCTGCTGAGTGCTGGTGTGAAAGATAAGAAAGATAATGTCTGGCTTTGTTTTGTTTTGTTTTAATCTTGGAGTAGGGCAGCATTTCACATGACTACTTTCCCATCAGCTCAAAGGAGAAAGCTGGATGCTGGCATGCAGGAGTAAAGCCTCACTCCTTCCCTCTCGGGCGGTTTGCCTTGCATCCCAGCTCTGATGGGGTCAGTGCTGCTGCCAGTCTGGAGCCAGAGACTCTCAGGGGACAGGACATCATGCAGCTGCTTCATGCTGAGCACATCTCTTTTTCTCAGCACCTGCTGCTTGTTTTTTTGTTTGTTTCTTTGTAGTAGAAAGGTATCTGCTTGACTTCTCTTTTCTGACTACTTGAGAAGGTAGCCAGATGAGTGCGAACAGAGTCTCTGAGTTCATGGAGTCCTGTTAATCATAAAGAAGGCCCAGGTAATATATGTCAGAGACCACTGTGTTCTCATTTGTTAACAAGGAGTGCTTTGTTCTCATCAGCTTGCCCTTAGAGCTTGATCGAGGACAATTTTCGCCACCATTGTGTCTCATATGTGGCATAAATGGCTAGGACTCCAAATTAGAGGCATCTCTCCCACACCAGGGTCTCCCAGTGCCCCCTGTGACCTGACCAGCTTTTCATATTGACTGGCCTCTGTTCTCTAGCATGTCTTGGAAAGGAATGTTTATTGAGTTGTTAATAGTTTCTTTACGCCGAATAAGAGTAATAAGGATCCATTGGTTATAAGGTCTTGAGAGCCTAATGAGATGGAGCCTGTACAGGCTTAGCACTGGACTGCACAGGCTTAGCACTGGACTGTACAGGCTTAACACTGGACTG